ATAAATTTTTAATTGTTGATAAAAATAACTAGTATATATAGTGTAGTAAAGTTTAAAATTTTCTGAGAGAATTTAAAATAATTTGAGACTACACCATAAAACAATTTTACAATTTGAATGTGTAAATACAACATTATAAATGTATTATAACTACATGTCTATTTATTTATTTAGTTCTGCCTGTGTATATTTTGTCAAATTTATTTGATAGGAATTGAATATAACCTTTATACCAGCTGATTAACTACCATGCAGTAAAATAACTACTGTTGACACCATTTCCTCCAACGATTTCGCAACGAATTGCCCATACCATATAATTAGAATAAACTCTTTCAATCAATGTTTAAATTTTTATATTGTCATTTATTCTTTCGTTTTTGTCTCTGTACTAATTTTCGTGTCAGATACAATAATTTAGTTTTTAAGTAAATTTTCATTTTCGTAGCTATACATAAACATGCCTACCTGTTGCATTAAAAATTGCATTAATAATAAATAGAAATGAGAAAATTTCTGATGCATCTTTTCACAGGTTTATTTTCAAATTAACTTCACACTAAAATAAATGTAACAATATCCCTATACTCGTTGAATAGAACTATTTTGTTTTACAATTACATACATTTTATTTTATAGACTATTATAATTTATAATGCTATCATGGATTACCATTTTAATATTAAAAGCAATACTTAAGAATAGCACAAGTTTCTGTAACAGTTTATAAAATTTCAGATTTCCTCAAAATGTAAAAATGCAAAACAATTGGATTAAGTGCATCAGACAGGAAATAAATGATTTCAAATGGCTTCCATCAAAAAATGCAAGAATATGCAGTGACCATTTCTATAATAAAGATTATAAGGGTTATGATGGAGAAAGGAAGGTAATGCTGAAGAAAGCATTCCCATGTTTTCAAGTTAGTTATATTTATATGTCATCAGTTACACAAGGAAGCAATTCACATCATCATTGTACATTGCAACATTATCTATACAAAAAATATAAAATGCATTCACCAATATTCCATGTATTTTATTAAAACTTAGAAAGGGCATAATGACATTGTGAATAATAAACCCTGTTTAGGACTGGGATCATCATCATCATACCAATCACCATTACAAGTAGAGTCAATTTTATATTAACGCTTAACAAGTTAACTAAATTGGCATAATCAAGTTTTTATATGAAATACACATCAAGTATTTAATGTAACAAATAAATTAACAGAAAAATTTCTGGAAAAGTTTAAAAAAATTAGAACATATGACTCTGATCAAAAATCATTCGCGTTGACACTGCATTTGTATGGGCATAAGGCATATGATTATCTTTGGATAAATAGCTTACATCTTCCTCACACTAGGACATTAAGAAAGTAATCTTGTCATACCTGTTCAATAATTTTAATAAGATTGTTTTAAATAACTATTCTCAATGTCATTTTATTAACACTACATTAAAAGGTGGCTACAAAACATTGATGGTATGCCTGGGGTGATTTCTACAAACCTTATTGACTAATGGTGATGGGGATCCTCTGGAACTGTAGGGTCATGACATTCAATCTAGTCATGGATTGAGAAATCAATCCTTGATATATTTGATAACAAACATTTATTATAATATAAGAATGTAAAAAAGATGTAGGTGTAAGGCAAAATCTTACTGGAACTATTATTTTTAGCAATTTATGATTTATTTTTTTTATTTATGACTTTATCCATTTTCAATGATACCAATATTTTTAATTATTATTATCCAAATTATACTCATGCCTATATAAATTAATTTGATTGTGGCTATTTCTATGCTTAATTATTTTATTTACTTGCTATAGGTATGCACAGCATTTAATAAATTAATGATAATAATTAATAACACAACATTCTAAGTGCATAAAATATAATAAATTAAAAGTACAATTTTTACAAACCTCATTGGTTATGGTGATGGGGATTCTTTAAAACTGAATGATCATGATCTACTAATGTAGTGGTTGGTAGTTTCTAGTAGTCTAATCTGTTAATGTTCGTTAGTGTTATCTGTTATTTATTTCAATTAGTAATTAGAATCAGTAGAGATTAGTTTTAGTTTAATTATTAGACTTTAATAATTTAATTACTAATTAGTCGTCGTTTAGTGTAGTTGGTGGTTCACAAAAAATTTCTTTTATTTAAAATGCAAAAAGATACTTAACCGTCATACAGCAATATCTATCCCAAAACAGCATCTAGTCTCACCTTTTAAAACATTTTGAAATTTTAAATAAAAGCAATATTCCGAAATTAGTAAATATACGATCGTAACTTTTGACTTGGGCGATAAAAAATTACCCTCCAATTTTCCTCTGGAAATAAGCTCCTTGTTCGACCGTCAAAAATGAGCGAAGGCCGTTATATTTATTCTAATTATATGAATCCTAGGCTGTGAAATCATAGCTAACTTCACACGCCAAGAGTAATACGATGTCTACCAACACAGCTTTAGAAACGTTTGTGAACAACGTTCAAACTTATTCAATACAAGGTTGAATTTTTTGTAGAAAATATCTTTCTTTTTTTAAATTTAAAAATTTTTCACCTGTGGAGTAGACAGCACTGCCTCAGCTAGCAGGACCCTGCTATTTCCTACTAACGACTGCCTAACTTTAATTAACTACTAGGGCACTACTCCAATCCCCCAAAGAGCCCAACTTTTGAAAAAAGTTTTGTCATACTCACCCACTAAAATGATATTTTAATTGCCAATTATTTAATTAATTTAAAATTTAATACTCAATAATATTGGTTTTTTATTTGTAAATTAAATGTAAATGTGTAAAGTAAAGTAAACGGAAGCGTAAAATAAATAAATTTATTTATTTATCAAGTACCAAGTAGGTAGTCAAATTTGTCAAATTTCAAATACATTTGTCATTTTTACTGATTTTCAGATTTAGTTTACAAATGCAATATTCGGCATAAGTTGACATTTGTTTTTCCATTATAAATTATTGAATAATTCAAATTACTGACTATATTATGTAATATATTAATTTTATATAATAAATAAATAATAATGATAAATAATCAACTGACCATTGCAGGCAACTTCAGCCAACTGGCATCGTTGGTCACAAAAGAGGGTGAAGTACTCAGTAAGAATCTACCACTACTGGACAATGTGTTGGCCACATTCAATGTCCAAGAACATTCTATAGGCTGTCTGGCTATTTTGTCAGATTATATTTATTTACTTTTATCTATATTTATTTTTAATCATTTATTTGTAATTGTATTTTTTCATTTATTTGTTCATTTAGTTTTTTAATTCCTAAAAACTATTTATTTATTTAATTTAAAATTGTCTCCATGTTTTGAAACATTAGTTTTTAAACAAATTAATTGAAAATTTTGTAGGTTAGCCAAATTTTCAGCCAGCCCATTAGTTGAGTTCGACACATTGTTCGCGTTGTCGTCAGATTTCATTAAAAACTGTAATTCAGAGCAAGTTCGCTACACCAGTGGTTTATGTGGGTTTATTAATTATTCTAATTATTCTTTGTTTGATTATTATTTTTTGGTTATTTATTTATTTATAACTATTTCTTGTTTCAAAGTTTTAGATGTAAATATTTATTTATGTAACATCGATGAAAAAACATTGACACAAAAATATGAAACTAAATTTTTTTCTTATTTTAATCATCAGTTGCAGAATTGTGCCACAAGTTACTCGATGCTCTGATTGAACGGAAACAAGTGATATGATCATTTTTATACTAATATTACGAATCATGCCAACATGATTATACTATTACTACTACTACTACTGTTGTTGCTGCTGTTGCTGCTACTACTGCTACTACTTTTATTTCTAATAATTATAATATAACTATAATTATAATAATAATTTTGAATGTCAAAAATATTTCAGCACTAAAAATTAACTTATATGTTATAATGTAGTGATAAAATGACGTTGTTAATGGCATCATTATTAGCGATAATGAAATATGGTGAGGATGATGATGACGGTGACTATGTTGTTGATGAAATTTCAGACAATCAAAGGAATTGCGGTATTTGCACGGGCCATTGAGAAGATCAGAGTGAATCCTAACCAGCTGACATCCATTCATGCTGACTTGTGTCAGGTTGGTTGTTGGTTGGTTTGTTGTTGGTTAGTTGATTTATTGATTGATTGATTGATTAATTGATTGATTGATTGATCTGTTGGTTTTTTGTTGTTGATTGGTAGGTTGGATAGTCGGTTGGTCGGTTGGTTGAATGATTGATTAAACACTTCATGCATAGAAAAAATACATACAATTAATATGCATTCATTCAATTTTTTTATTATATCATTGAGGACTCATAGATTTATTTTTAACCTAAATATCTTGACCTAAATTTATGTACTAATCACAATGACCTTGACACAGATTTATTTTTAAATATAATGACCTTGACCTCGCGCAGGCCTGCCTGCTATCGAAGTGCATGAAACCTGCTCTGCCATATTTAGATTGTGACATTCACTCTATCAGCAAGGAGGTAATGATGATGATGATGTTGATGGTGGTGTTGATGATGGTGATGATGATGATAGAAAGATTGGAACAGCATCTTTTTTCCTTTATTTACAGTCATTATAATTTTTTCAGCCTTATTGATTCATATCTCACAAATACACATATAGAAACAAAACAAACAAACAAACAAATAAAATAAATAAAAAAACAAATCAAACAAACGGATATACCAAAATTGTCATTCGTCATCATCATTGTCGTCATCGTCATTGTATCATCTTCACAATCATCATCAAGTTTCCTCATCTAACTTTTCAGTTTGGTCAATTTAATGTGAAGCACTTCTTGCTCTACTACTATTATGGTGGGATGATATACGCGGCTGTGAAGAATTTCAAGAGAGCCTCGTTCTTTTTCGAAAATGTTTGTTGTATCCTTCCTTTCTTTCTTTTCTTTGTTTTGTGTGCGTGTGTGTGTGCGTGTGTTTGTTTGTTTGTTATATTTTATGTACATTGAACTCTTTTCATGTGTTTGTTAACAAACGTCAAATGATATAAAACAAACAAATTATTTCGCAAAAATTGAATTATTTAATTAATTAATTTATTTATTTGTTTTATATTTTTCAAAATTTCTTATTTAAACTCAATTTAATTTCTGTCCCAACCCAGGCAATCACAGCACCTAGCCTAGCACTGAGTCACATAATGTTAGAAGCCTACAAAAAGTTCATTCTGGTTTCTCTCATTGAATATGGCAAGGTTTCACCATTTGTTCTATCTATTCTATTTAGTCCTATTTTAAAATATTTATTAAAAAATTCAAATATTTTAAAAGTGAATTTTTCTGATAAAATGTGGCTAAATAACTTGTGATGCTTGTTATTTGGATGATGATGATGATGATGATGGTGATGCTGATGATGATGTTGATTGTTACTTGAATGATGATAATGATGACGGTGTTTATGGAATTTATTCATTCAGTATGTTATCTATATATAATTGTTAATTATTATTATAATAACAACAATAATTGTAACGAATTATCATAATTATTAATAATTGTTGTTCAGTTACCAACACTCCCTCGGTACACATCCCACGTCTCAACACGCTACATTAAGGTTGCATTCTGCTTTGTGTGCGTGCGTGTGTGTGTGTGTGTATGTCTTTGTGGTATGTGTGTGTGCGTGATGTAACAATGGTTAGACAATATTGAGAGTGATGATCAAATCAACGATGATATGGACAATAATGATGACGATGATGATGAACATTATGGTGATGATGTAGTGAGTGAACATGATGACGACGATGACGATGGTGATGGTAATGCTAATGATAATGGTGGAAATATGATGGTGGATACCACCCACACATAACAGCCACTGTGCCAGCCCTATGTAGATCTGTCAAATAGCTTCCAGACACCCAACCAAGATCTCAATGTCCTCATCATGAAGCATACTGATGTTTATCTGAGGGTAGGTCTGTGTGCCGGGGTTGATTTGCTATGTTCGTTCATCTTTGTTCGTTCGTTCGTTCGTTCGTTCATTCATTCATTTTTGTATTCGTTTCACCATTCATTCATTCATTTATTCATTCATTCATTCATTACTCTATTCTTTCAATCATTCATTCATTTGTTCATTCATTAACTCGTTCACTTGTGTTTTAATTTTTCTCATTTATTCATTCACTAAGTGTACAACACACACACACACTCCACACACTCACACACACACACACGCAACTGCCAGGACCAAAACATGGGCCTAGTGAAGCAGTGTGTGAGATCAAACTACAAGAGAAACATACAATGTTTAACAAAGGTGATTTAGTCTTAATTAAGTTGCTAATTTAAACTCAAAAATTCAACCATAATCATCATCATTAACACCATTATCATCATCATTAACACCATCATCATCATCATAATCATCGTCATCATCACCATTATCACCATCATCACAGACGTTCATGACCTTGTCCTTCAGTGACATGGCCAACAGGGTTCAGCTAGGTTCAGCTTCGACAGCTGAGAATTATATCTTAAATATGGTCTGTTTAATGTGCGCGTGTTTGCGTGTGTGTTTGTGCGTGTGTGCGCGCGCGTTTGTGTGATGTTATCATCTTTTTTATTCTTAGCATAATTATTTATTATTATTATTATTAGTTATAATTATTGTGGACTTTTGTTATCATCTTCAACATCTTGAATCTAATCTAATTTTATGGTGGCCCAACAAGTCATATCTTCGGGTCTCCTAGCTTTTTTTACTGAATAAACTAATTATTCAATTGAATTCATTCATTCATTGGTTCATTCATTCATTCATTTATTCATTCATTCATTCATTCATCGTCACTAATAACATCATCATAGTCGTTGTCACCATCACCATCAGTATTATCATTTCATCGTCTTCGTCATCATTTTTTAAAATTCCCCAAAGATTGAAGATAAGGAGATCTATGCCACGATCAACCAGAAGGACGGGATGGTCAGTTTCCATGACAACCCGGATAAGTACAACAACAGCAAGATGATTGATCATCTGAGGGAACAGGTTTTTGTTCTTTGATTGTTGTTCTTTGTTGTGTTTGTTGTTCTTTGTTGTTCGTGTTTGTTGTTCTTTGTTCTCTGTTATGTTTGTTGTTCTCTGTTATGTTTGTTGTTCTCTGTTATGTTAGTTGTTCTTTGTTGGTTTTTGTTTGTTTGTTCATTGGTGTTGTAATTGTAGCAATCAGCATCTTCAAAGTCGTCATCGACATTTTATAAAACATCATTTTCGATTGTCACATCGTAATCATTGCGATATTGTTGTCATCGTTTGCGATCTCTGTTTATTTAACCATCATCGTCATCGTCATCATGGTCATCATCATCATGGTCATCATCATCATCATTAGATAATGAAATGTATCACACTGGACAATCAGTTGAGAGATATGGATGAAGAAATATTATTGACACCTCAGTACATACAAAAGGTAGGCTGTATAGTTCATCATCATCGTCATCATCATCACCATCGTCATCTTCTTCTTCGTCATTATTATTCTTATTATCATCTTCATCACCATTCTCATCATCATGTTTATCATCGTCGTCATCATTTTATTATGTGTAAAGTTAATTTGGCTATTTCAATAAATTAGCTATGTTCATCAATCATTCATTTCATTCATTCATTCATTCATTCATTCATTCATTCATTCATTCATTCATTCATTCATTCATTCACTCATTCTCAATTTCATTCAGTCATTTATTTTCAATTTCATAATAATAATTAGCAATATTTATAACAAAACAATGATACACTTCACTGATTAAAGGTTGCAGGCACATACGACGAAGATAACACAAGCGGGTCCGGTATAAAACTGGCCCAACTTATGTGATCTGATGTAGTCTATAGATGATAAACCAACTTCTAGTTGATTGATTGATTGGTTGATTGATTAATTGATTGACTGGTTGAATGTATGATTAATTAAATGAATGATTGATTTGAATGATTAATTAAATGAATGATTGATTGATTTTTATTTATGAATGAATTTCTGTTTTTTATTTCTGTATCGTTTTTCTCCCGTGTTAATTATAATCTAAAAATAGTCTTGTTCATTGCTAATATATTGTTGCATTATTACCTCCATTAATGTTATTTATATTGATGTTTCCGTTAATGGTATTATTGATTACGTACATTGATTACGTATCGACAGCTGTAGAATCATAAAAGTTAAAGTATCAATAAATTGCACGGTCCTCCCTCAGCTTCAAGATGTTTCCGAGAAATCAGCTTAGCTTTTAATTTTAAAAAAAGAGCCAAGAGGTATCAATTCTTGTTTAGCGGCATTGTATTTAATGTTACTAAAGTGAAATTAACATTAAATTATATTATCAAACAATAATACAATCGAAACAATAATCATTTAAGTCAATTTTTCGTTAAACTAAGTCGAATTGTAACTGCAATGTAGTCAAGAAATGAAATTTTGAATCTGTTAATGACAAAATAGTTCAGCGTTCACCAATCAAAATCGTAGAAGGGAACTTCTTCGTCTTCCGATAGAACTTTCGCTTTTTTAGCTTCGACTTCGTAGAGGGTTCCTTTTATGGCACCTTTCTTTCCCTCCCCTCCCTGCATATAAATCTTATCTGCTTTCACGCACGTCAGGTGGCCAGCAAGTTGGATCCTGGAGTCACCGAGACTGATCCACTTGGTGCGGTTCGGAGATGTACAGTTCAGCAGGTAACAATCCGATACCGGATCTTTCTTCTTCCCGTCGAACGTCCATCCACCATGCATGAAGATGCAATCGCCCTGGTTACATACGGATGTCACGTGATATTTCCTGGCTGCAACTTTTGCCTCTTGGATTTCTGTTGAATGTTTTTTGAAGTGGATGGAGGAATAATATGTGCTGGAGCCTGGGCAAACAAATGTATGAGTCTCGAGCATGTTGTCATTTCTGCCACCGACGATGTACAACTGGTCCTTCAGGACATCGCATGTGTGACCGGATCTGGAACATACTGTCGTTTCCAAGGGCTTGTAAATGAATTCACCTCTTTCTGGATTGCTTGATATCAAAAACATACTCGCAAATCTGCGCTGAGTTTTAAGAAACCCCTCCCTTCCGACAACTAATATTTTGCCATTTGAGAGCAAGTTGGCTGTGTGCGAACTCAATCCAGAACCTATAGGAAAGCCGTGAGTCTCGCATGGAAGCCACTTTTCTTGAGCGCCATCGTAAATGTTCAAATCGCTCGTTCGCGATTTCCCATTCCAGCCACCAATCAAAACGAGGTAGCGGTCTTGCAGTACAACGCTTGCGTGGTAACTAAGAGCTGGCGAGTCGGTGTCGGTCAAATCGGTCCAAATACCGGTGTCGAATGAGTACTTGTGAAAACCGTTCAACGGGGTTGACAGACGAGATTTGTCGATGCCTCCGTGTACGTAAAGGTTGTTGCCGATGATTCCCCCACTGTGGTTGCAGATAGTTGGGCCACCTGGGGAGAGGACGTTGAAGCCAGCCACAGGAACGTAGTCGTCTGCATCGCTGCTTCCCGTGGTTGTCATGTTACTTCGGTGATGATAAGCTATCAATTAAATAAAGTAGGGCGTTGTTGTTGATTATGTTTTAACTAAATTAAATATAAAAAGCTCGTTTATAACAATCTATAACACACAATCAAATCGTTTTGACGGTCGCGATATTGTTGTTGTTCATTTGCGCTATAGTAAACATGTTGTTCATAAATAACGTTCAAATCAAAGTAAATAAAGTTGGAAAACAAACACCGCCGTCAAATATTTCACTGATTTAACATCTTCAGCGCTATACAAATTTTTCAGGACTGTAAACAAAGATGCTTCCCTCAGCAACCGTTAATCAGGGCGTGTGATGCCTGCGTGCTGTTGTGCTGTTGTGCGTGCTCCCACGCTGAGTACGTGTAATAGAATGTATTGATAGCTGTTATATAATAATAATAATAATAATATATATATAATATAAATATATAATAATAATATAGAATGTTATTAGCTATTATTATTGATAGCTGCCAGCACCATCAACATCTTCCCTACGTTGTTAACTTTTTATATTGTACACCATGGCTCAGTTGCATTTGTTTCAACCAGTCAAGAATGACGAAATGAATATTTCAAAAGTAATTAAAATAGTTATTTTTCTCACTTTGGTGGTGTTGGTTGCAAACTGCACACAGCCTGTGAGTAGCGGCTTAAGAGATGACAACGACGACGACGCATCCACAAGCAGCATCAACGTCAGCAACAGCAACAACAACGTCAACAACTTCTTTTCCAACAACAACAACAACAACTCAAGCAACAACGGCAACAACAGTACAAACAACAACAACCCCAATGTTGTTGTTGACGATGATGGCGATGAAGATGAAAGACATGGAAATGGATTGATAAAAACGTACACTGAAAAATTGTTCAAGGAAAACATCGAACAAACCCCTCATCTGATATTCTTCTACAAATTCAGGTTCATAATTAAATAACGCTTTAAAACTATAAAAGATCTTCATTGAGGTAAAAAGTAACAGAGCATTAGCGTTAACGTAGACGACGTGATGGCATAGAATGCCTACTTGTATGTTGCAGATACTGGATTCGACTGCAAATGATCTCGACTTGTATATGTTTTTTGCAAGTCATAATGACGGTAAAATAATTAATGAAGATGTTTTTGCATTACTGATAACGAGTTTAACCCATTGCACTATCGACGATGTTATCATTTATCATAAACATCATCATCGTCATCATCATCGTCAAGAGTATCATCATCATCATCATTATCGTCATCATTATCAAAATAACATCGTCAGCATCGTCATCATCGTCTCCAGGTGTCCGGATTGCGACAGATTCTTGCCACACCTGAGTGCCATAGCGAAGAAAGTTCAGAGTAATGAACAGTTGCATGACGTTATCGTTGCGAAGGTTATCATTGTTTAATCGATTGAGTGACCGATTGATTGGTTAACTGACTGAGTGACTGATTGATTGATTGATCGATCGATCGATTGATTGATTGATTGATTGATTGATTGATTGATTGATTGATTGATTGATTGATTGATTGATTGATTGATTGATTGATTGATGGATCGATCGATCGATCGATTGACCCGCCCACAGATAGATTGTTATGACGGCAAAAATATTGACGTCTGCAAGAAACTGAAGATTGAAGAATTTCCGACGTTATTATTAATTTTATTTATCATAATAAAATAATTTAAACAGTAATATTATAAATTAAAATAATTATAATACAATAATTACGACAATTAATATTACTTTGTTAATTTGTTTGAATAGTAATCAAATTAAAAACAAGTTTTTAACAAGTTTTAAAAACAATTGCAAACTTTCAATGGTTTAAAAAAAAGGAATATATTCATTGGAAGTTATTCGCATAGTTTGCCCATTAAAAAATTTGATTTTAAAATGAATAAGAATTTGTATTTTTTAGACAATGTATTTCTTAGTTTGGATGTTTTCAGATATTATTTCATAAAAATTTGAATAATTTGATTTAAATTTTTCTCAAAAATTCCATAAAAAGTCTGGTGGTCTTCAAGAAAAGTTCGACTCCATCGGCCAAGTTCTCGGGCAAGTATATCGGCAAAATTCTGGAGAGATATAGAGCGGGGAGGAGAGGGGAGAAAGATATGCACGCATCGGTGAGTGTTGCTGCAGCATTTTTATAAGATGTCTCTACTCAATTAATTCTGGCCACATTATAAACTATTCCAATGTAAATTGTAGAAATACGTGATGAATTTAATAACAACAGCCTTCAAAGCGCAACTGTTCAGATTTCATTCGAAATACTTTAAATAATTAATAATATAGTGGCGATGATTTATTTTATAAAAATAAAATCTCTAAAAAATCGCAGAACGAAGAGATGAAAAGGAAGATGAATGATGAGGACGATGACGATGAAGATGACGATGAACAGAGGAGCAAGCAGTCGGGCATCCTCAATATGAATGATGGAAACTTCCACAAACTTGTAACGGACGGTCGACACTTCATCAAATTTTTCGTTCCACGGTGTTCACACTGCAAGCAGCTGGAACCAATCTGGAAAAACCTGGCCGACAGTTTGGATCAAGTGGAGAGGAGTGCAGTTACGATCGCACAGGTAAGAAATATCTCAAGTTTGGCTCTTCAACAATGTTACTAACAACTCGATCATTCGTTTAATTTTTCAAAAAGTCTGGTATTAACTTTTGAAAATCATATTTTAAAGTATCTTGATATAATGCCATTTATTACCTGAAGGTTGATTGCACGGAAAGCATTGAGACCTGTCGTGAGAATGACATCAAAGGCTATCCGACCATCATCCTATACGATGATGGCAGTCGAGTTTGTGTCTTTTTTTGGAAAATTATTTGCTAAAAATAATATTTTAAAAGACTTTTCTTAGAAGTGTTATTTGTTTGAAAGTATCTGAAATCTAGCAATTATATACATTGTATTAGATGTAGTGGTTAATTTAAACAACACGTGCAAGGCACGTGTTGTTGTGGTCTGAGTAGTCGTTTGTACCACTACGCTTTGATTGGTTGAAAGGATGCCGAAACTTCTAAGAAATGCTAATTAGATAATTTTACATTGAAATATTATTTAAACAAAAAACAACAATTTTATTATTTAATATTATAAGTAAATGTAAATTTCTACTTAAATGTGAATTAGATTGATGGTATTAATTGACGATAGAATTTTCTTCTCCAGGTCGGGGCCTACACAGGAGCTAGAGACCTGATCAGTATGAAAAATTATCTATCTACCCTTCCGTTCAAGCCAAAGGTTGCCACAAACATAATTACAAATAATTTTCGTTAATATAATGTAATATAACATAATCTTATTTAATTTAATATAATAATAACAATAATAACGTTTATTATATTAATTTATACTTGATAATAAGAAAAATAATAACAACATATATATATCAAAAACTATTATAACATTGACAAGAATGATGTAGTTCATTTACGTTGTGTGCGTGCGTGTGTGTGTGTGTGCGTTTGTTTGGAAGGGTGTAATAGACCCTTGACAACCTAACAACGAAAGAATCTCATAGTAGAGTTGACGGGCCCTGATCTAAGCGGGTACCTAGACCCTCGAGGTAGCGTCATAGTCAGATTCTACGACCCCCACTGTCCAAACTGCAAGGACAGTTTCAGCGTCTGGAAGGATGTCGTCGCGACAGTTAGCAGAACCGAAAGTTACAAAGCAGAGACTTTACAGGTATTGTTTCTTGAGATTTTTATAAATTAAAAAAATAAAAAGTGCTTTGTTGTGTTGGTGTCTTGTGAATGGTTGGAGTGGTTTCTTTTTTGTATCATCACGAAATTGCTTTGGCTCTATCTTTGCTTCAGTTCATTTTTTGGTTTGTTTAGTCATTCACTTGTTCATTCTTTCGTTTATTTTATTCATTCATTCATTCATTCATTCATTCATTCATTCATTCATTCATTCATTCATTCATTCATTCATTCATTCATTCATTCATTCATTCATTCATTCATTCATTCATTCATTCATTCATTCATTCATTCATTCATTCATTCATTCATTCATTCATCCATTCATTCATCCATTCATTCATCTATTCATTCATTCATCCATCCATCCATCCACTCATTCATTCATCGTCAAGTGGAAAATTATTTCCATCTGGTATATTGATTGAAGGTGAATTGTAAGGAGCACGACGATGTCTGTAAAACGGCCAATGTCCTTCAAGTGCCAACCATCATCTTCTACAAAGGAACCAAAAAGGTATATTTTTTATTTTAAAAAAATATTAATGTTACTCTTATCATTACATCATCATTGTTATCATAATATCGTTGTTGTTATCGTTATTCTCGTTATTGTTATCGTTATTCTCGTTATTGTTATCGTTATTCTCGTTACTATCATACCGATACCGACCATTTTCGTTATCTTCGCCATGATCATAGTTTGTGTTGACCTTTTAATATCATCAGTGTCATCGTACTGTCACCTTCATCACCATCATAATCATCGTCATCATCATCATCATCTGCATCGTTATCGTCGTCATCATCATCGTCAACATCATCATCATCATCGTCGTCGTCAACACCTCCATCTTCTTCATCATCTTTATCGTCATCGTCGTCATCATCTTCTTCACTATCATCTTCATCATCATCGTCATCCTCCTCATCTTCTTCTTCCTCATCAGTTGGATATATATAGAGGATCTCATAAGAGTCTATCAGACCTGCTCTCATTCATTCATCAACTCCACGACAAGACCATTGATGATGATGACGATGATGATGACGATGATGTTGGTGGCGGTCATGGTAATGATGCTGATGATGATGAGGGGGGAGAAACTCGCGTCGGTGTATCAGGGAATAAGGTGAATATTTTATTAACTTTGAATGATGCAGTAGGGGATTTATGAAATAAGGATAAGATGATGCTGATTAAAGAGTAAAATATGTACACACACTCACACACACACGCACACACACACGCACACACGCACACACACACATGCACTCAAACACACACACATTCACAACAAAATGAAATGATTTATTATACCTAATCGTAACAATATGCTGGTCAAATTCTTCTGATGGTAGCTCGTTAGGACGTTGGATATGAGGACGGTTGATGGTCAACTGGCGACCAGTAAGTATGTCTTCATCAAATTCTACGTGCCTTGGTTAGTTGGGGTGATGATGATAATGATGATAATAATAATAATAATAATTGGAACATCTTTTATTTTTCACCATAAAAAACATACAATGATAAATAAATATATATATATATATAATATATATATATATATATATATATATATATATATAAGTTAATGTTAATTAAATAATGCGCAATGATAAAATTTTTAAAAATTGTATAAAATAATATTAAAGGTTAAGACCATTTTGCTCATTGTGAAGTTAAGTGCAGAACGGTAAAATATATTTAATTAGCATCATAGCTTGTTCTTGTCACAGTAAATGTCATACGATAATAATAATAATGATAATGATGATGATGATAAAGACGATGGTAATGAAATGGTGATGACTAAAATAATGTTTCTTTTTTTTTGTATTTCACTTGATTTCACTTTTAAATCAATCCAGGTGTGAATTCTGCAAACACCTGTCTCCCACCTGGATGGAACTGGCCTTCAGGTCACGAAAGGTCAAGAACGTCGTCATCGCAGAGGTCAACTGCGCCGACCAGAAGCACCTGTGCGATCGTTACGATGTCAGTTGGCTCGGTGGTGATGGTGATGATGATGCTGGAGAGGAAAACGATGATGATGATGAAAATGATAATGCTGATGATATATTACGCTACTACTGTTGCTGCTTCTACTACTACTGCTTCTACTACTTCTACTACTACTACTACTACTACTACTACTACTACTACTATTACTACTACTACTACTACTACTGCTTTTACTACTTCTACTACTGCCACTACTACTACTACTACTATTACTTCTACTACTACTACTACTACTACTACTACTACTACTACTACTACTACTACTACTACTACTACTACTACTACTACTTTTACTACTACTACTACTACTACTACTACTACTACTACTACTACTACTACTACTACTACTACTACTACTACTACTGTATTACTATAACAGCTACCTATAATACAATACAATCACTGCTACAATTTTTATATTTAAATTAAGTAATGATAATATTAATATTAAATTAATTGTTTAAAAAACTTGCGAAATAAATGGACAAATTTTAAAAAATATAACCCGGTCTATAAATAGATCAGAGGTTACCCCACGATGCTATTAATACTGAATGGAAAAACCCTGGATATGTACACTGGCTCGCATGAGGTCAGCGACCTGCACGACTACCTGGTGATGATGATGAAGTACGATGGGAGCAACATTAGCCACTACAGCGTCGGTGAGAAGCGCATCAACGTGAGTGATGACGACGACAACGACGACGATGATGACGGTGGTTATGATAACGATTATAGATATTTCGGTGGGAGTGATGATGATGATGATGATGATGGTGGTGGTGGTTATCACTATAGAGATGGAAGGAATGAATTGTAGGGTGAGTGCTGCTTGAGGGTGTGATGATGATTTGGTGAAATGGCAGGGGCAAGAATGATGATTAGGATGATGATGATGGTGATGAAGGTTTTAATAAAAATATTGCAAAGATATCATTAACATTAGTGAAAATTATGATGTTATGGTGATAACGAGTGCGATTATGGTGATGATGGTGGTTATTAAAAATTTAAATTTAACGTTGAAGAAGTCGAAGCTGTCCAGTGTCCACTATTTGACCATGCTGGCACCTCAGAGTGTCCATTTTATACGCATTTTATTGATTTATGGTTTATATTTTGAGATTAAGACGTTAAACTATGGTTTATAACTTTATATTATTTTGTCAATTTGTATCTATTAGTGTTAATTTGGCTGTTAATGTGATGGTTTTTTTTCCTACTTTGCAATACCGGGTAAATTATTTTGTTAAATTTTTGACCGAAGTGCTTCAGACGTTTGTAATTTTTTGTGTGTCTGAGATTAGTTGAAATTCCTTATTCGCATTTCAAATAAATGTTTTTTTGAGTTTATTTTTGATGGATGCGTGTTAATTTAATAATGTTATGGCGTTGGTGGAATTTGTGAGAAGAAATTTATTTTTGATTTCTTGTTTTTGTGTGAAATAATTTCCTCTCACTCACTCTCTCTCTCTCTCTCTCTCTCTCTCTCTCTCTCTCTCTCTCTCTCTCTCTCTCTCTTTCCCTCACTTCTCAACTTCTACTTTCTCTTTTTTCTCCAACCCAACTTTTTACAAAAAAATAAAATAGTTATAATATTGTCGGACATGAAGATACAAGAATGATAGGCACAACAGCGTAGATAGGTGTCCACAACAAAACATTGGAATAAATAGATGGATATAAATGCAGATGAATTAAACGCATAAAAAAGTTTACAAACAGACACACACTAACACACAAACACATACAGACGCACACTTACACACACACACACACACACATACCTTTATTATTGAGTTTGACGCGGAGTTCACGTCAAATATGCCTCACAATCGCACGTAGCTAACAAAAGAACCAAACAACACAACTGCTATTGTTCTAACATCTGGTGTACAGATACCAAAGTGTACGCTTGCAGTTGGTACTTACATGGTACAATACTCAACTTTACAGATTTATACACACATTCATGCATGTACACGCTCGCACGCACGCAACATGCATACATACTTGAGAATTCAGACATAGGCTGACACACACAAATATATACAAATGCAAGAAAAACAAAACATGATATACAAAACTTGCGATTTGAATACAAACAGGTCTTGTAATACCAAAAAAGACATTGCCATACAATTATCATTCTTTGAAGTTTCTACAGAGAAAGCATTCCTCAAATTATGCAGTACAACAAGACGATAAAATGTAATTTTATACCTTGTAGACAATTTAATAACACGAAATACCTCGCAAAAATACGTGAAAATACATAAATACCACAAAACACAACAACGCCATACTGTACCTACCTGCTTCTCTTTCAAGTGCAACATTTGAGAAGACATCAGTTGTATTGTATACGTCAAAATGAATAGCTACGAACAAGCAAGTTCACACACCCACACATGTAAGTGTGTGCGTGCGTGCGTGTGTGTGTTCTTGTGTATACATACATTTGTGGATGTACGTGTGCAAACGGTGAGAATTATAACTGGCATTAAATGCAATAGAACAAATGAAGCCAAATAATGCAGAACAATTAATTGCTGTAGCTCTTCATTTCAGTTCGTCGGCTGGTTTAATAGGCTGAGCGTGCATTGCTTTGTTTGTATGGGATTGTGAGGTGACGTTCATCTACGTTTGCCTGCGTTCACAGTTTTTAGTCATTTTTTTATTTGTTCACTCGTTCACTCTTTTTTCGTTTAATCATTCGTTCGTTTGTATGTTCGTTCATTCGTTTATTTGTTTGTTCGTTCATGCGTTGAAAATATTATTTTCAAATATTTTTTCATATGAATCAGTGCTTTGGTTCACTCCTTCATTTTTTCTCTCATTTACCCATTTATTAAGCAGACACGAATGAACGATTATTTTGAGAGATTGAGATGAACGTTCTGTAAGTTTTGAAGGGGTAATGGCTGTTGGCACGCAAAAATGAACACACACACACACGCACGCACGCACACACACACACACACGCACACACACACGCACACACACACGCACACACACACACACGCACGTTCACAAATACATTCACAAGCACTTTTCATTATTAATTAGTTTACTTTAAAGTTAATATATCATTATAAAACTATTATTAATATTGTAGCCCTTCCAATTATGTGCATTATGGATTACCTCATGACTCTAGTTAATTGATATTAAATTAGCTAATATTCCAAATTAAGTTTAAATACCATCGATTCGCACGAGCTCACATGCAAGCTTACATTTATCAATGCAAATGACACTCATACACACACAGTCACAGACAAACAGACGGATGCAAACATACTACCACACAAACTTAAGCGCCACCTCATTTCTTAGTCACATATTACTATGGCAAACATTTGCTAAAATGTACGTTTGCTTGTGAGTGTGCATGTGCGTATATATATATATATATATATATATATATGTGTGTGTGTGTGTGTGTGTGTGTGTGTGTGTATGTGTACCTAACTTCACACATACATTCTTACATTCCTATAGTGAAATTTTTAAACATGAAGATAAACACATAGCGTACATACATATCAATGTACACACATATAAGCTAACACGCACATATACAATACACCTATACATACATCATATAATATTATATATATATATATATATTACATATGTTTCACATGTGTTACATATACAATATACTTACATATATATAAACTTTTTTAAACTTTCTGGCATACATACATACATACATACAATAATACATCTTTGAATATAGGTTATATAAATTTTTAAACACATACAATATATAGGAGTATTATATATATATATTTATGTACGTATATATATATGGATAATATGTTATATATATATGTAAATAAATATTATATATAGTATATATAAATATAAATAAATATATAAATAAATATATATATATATATATATATATATATATATATATATATATAATAGTTGCTGGTCTGTTGATCACACTTCCTACATTGGACACGGATGACAGGATGGAGTATCCACTCATGCTTAACAAATTATTAGAATAATAATAATAATAACAATAATAATAATAATAGTAACAATAATAATAATAATAGTAACAATAATAATAGTAATAGCATTAATAACAGCAAGAAGAAGAAGAAAAACAATAAAAGTATTGCTAGTAACTGACGATCGGGCAAGGCTGTTATGTCATCCATGACCGTCAACACTTCATTTATGACGTCATCGTCAACGTCACCGTCGTCATCAGCATTTACAGCCTCCGTCATAGACAACATCATCTACAACAACAACAACAACAACAACAACAACAACAACAACAACAACAACAACAACAACAACAACAAAAATATTAATTTAATTAATTTTAACATCAACAGTAATACTCTTACTACTGCTACTGCTGCTACTACTAATACTGGCAATAATAATGGAATTACTAACATAGATAACAGTGACAATAGTAACAGCAGTATTAATGTCTACAACATCCATACTGCTAGTAGCATTAACAGCAGTAGTAATTGTAGTAACGCCAAAGGAAGTTGTCCAAAAGTTGCCAAAGGAGATAAAAGTATATCTGATGTTGTTTGAAAATACTTCTTAATGCTATTGAATTTGTTGTTGTGGTTGGGTTGAATTTGTTGTTGTGGTTGGGTTGAATTTGTTGTTGTGGTTGGGTTGACTTTGTTGTTGTGGTTGGATTTGTTGTTGTGGTTGGGTTGAATTTGTTGTTGTGGTTGGGTTGGATTTGTTGTTGTGGTTGGATTTGTTGTTGTGGTTGGATTTGTTGTTGTGGTTGGGTTGAATTTGTTGTTTCTGTTGCAGTTGGATGATTTCTTGTAATTTTAAATGTTAAAGCCTGCACCAGCAACCTATACCTTTTTACTCATTTCTTTCAGTTATTTTGTTCTAGACATGTTCAACTATATCTTCTCTACTTCTGCTTGCTTGCCATTCATACATGAAAAACTTGAACTTTTATAATAATTGGCATTTAACTGACTGAAAGTCTGTTGGTATGTTATTTTTGGCTCTTTTTTTCTTCATTGTGGTTTGATTTGATTGCGTTTGAATATTGGATTAGATTGGATGTATGACGATACTTAAGATGATAATTATATGCCGGTATATGATCTATTTTTGAGTTGAATGTTCAAATATTCAATTGAAAATATTTAATTCACGCAAATCTTTATAAAGTTGGTTATAATTAGTAGTTCTTCAATTTGTTTTATGTGTATTTATGTGTGTTTTTTTATGTGCGTATATTTATGTTCATGTGTGTTTGTAGGAATGTTTGTATGTGTGTGTGTGTTGCATGTGCTGACATGCGTGTGTTTGTATAGGCAAATTAAGAAATCTGCACGGAATAAATTCATTTGATTTGTCAACAGTACAAACCAATTGTGTGTCTCTGTGTGCACGTACATGTGTGAGTGTGTGTGTGTGTTTGCATGTACATGCGTGTGTGCGTGTGTGTGTGTGCGTGCGTGCGAGTTTCATGATTGTTGAAGATTTTTAAATGAATGAGCAAACTAAAGATCGGGAGCAAATTAACGGAAACTCCATTTTAACAGACAACAATGGACTGAACCAGCTGGGGGGAAAATTTATAAATGGCAGACCCCTGCCAGATGAGGTGCGTCACAAAATCGTTCATCTGGCCCAGGAGGGGGTGAGACCGTGCGAGATCTCCAGACGAATGAAGGTCTCGCATGGATGTGTCAGCAAAATTCTTGGCAGGTTGGTTGGATGGCTGGTTGGTTGGCTGGTTGTTTGGCTGGTGTGGTTGGTTGGTTGGTTGGTTTTTGGCTGGCTGGTTTGGATGGATGGTTGTTTGGCTGGTTGGTTGGCTGGTTTAACTGGTTGTTTGGTTGAGTGAATGATTAGTTAATTGTTTATTTTTTCTGATTAATTGTTTGACTGATTATTTCAAATAGATTGTTTGTTGAGTGTATCCGTCTAAATAATCAAGATATTGTTTGGTTCGTTGTATGCATTTGCAAGCTGATTGGTGAATTAATTGGTGAATGAATTTTGTGAGGAATTGTGAATTTCAATGAAGATTTATTAAATAAGTTAAGGTTGAAATTCAAACATGATTGGCATGACTAGGTCGTTTCAGCATTATAATGCGCAGTTCAAACACCGAATCAATAAATTATATTGAGAAATATTATATATATATATATATTTATTTATATATATATATATATTCCATTTTAATTATTAATTCAATCCGTTTCTTGATTCACTGATTTCAAATTTTTTATATAAATTCAGCAAAGAATTTATTATTGAAAATGTTTATTTAATTAATTTTCTAAATAATCAAAATCAGTTGTGGTTTATAAATTTACTTAAAAAAGAAACATGCCTTTAACTTTTGTTTTTAGAAAAAACTTTAAAGAATGATCAGATATCGCGAATTTTATTTTTAAGATTTTTTGAAACTGGGTCGATTAAACCTGGCGTGATTGGAGGATCGAAACCGAAAGTAGCAACCGGGTCAGTGGTGCAAAACATTGCAGCCTATAAACTGGAAAACCCCACAATGTTCGCCTGGGAAATTCGGGAGAGGTTGTTGAAGGACGGTGTCTGCAACAACGAAACCGTCCCTAGCGTCAGCTCTATAAACAGGTTGCTTGCCTGCTCGGTGCCACTGCTGTTGATTTGCTATGTTTCAATCCCTGTTCATCTCATTATTATTTATCTCTTTATCTGTGTTAGCTTGGTTTTGTTTAGGTTTGATCATATTCGTATATTTCTTGTCTGTTTGTATTATAGTCTTAAATCATCAGTTGTTTCTTGTGTTATTTAATTCCACTTATTCATTCCAACACTTCTCGTTCAATCGAACTCTTGCCGCAGGTCATTTTAAATAATAAACCGAAGTTTTCTTTGGTAGTTCGCAGGCAGCGGAGCAAATCATAATTTATTACAACAAGACTTCTATTACCTTGTTTGAAAATTTATCCAACTGAAACAAGACAACAACGTGCAAGCATTCTTTTTTTCATATTTATTGACATATAGTGAATCTTGAAATCAGTATAAATTGAATCTCTATGCATTGCTTCAAAATTCATAGGATCGTTCGGAAGAAGACCACTGAAAAAATTCGACAGGCGTCGGGACGGTTCTCGGCTGACAGCCGATTATTCAGCAGTAACGACGACGACGACGACGACGACGATGACGACGATGACGACAACTTCTTAACAGCGAGTCAGATGGGCCTTGGTTCGACTGCAGCAATGACCTCAGGCAAGAACAAAAACAGTTCCAGCCTACTTAACTCACTGATTAACGATGTTGATGTCGGCGCTGTCGATACCACGGACAGTTTGTTGAATTTGTACAACAGCAACTTGCAGACTATCGAATCGTCCGATCTCTTGAGTTTGTATCCACAAGTACTTGAAACGCTCCTCAACCAACAGGTAGTTTCAACTGGAGAGATGCTGTTTTTGTTGATGTTGGTCAAATTGTGTATTTATTTATTTTATTTATGAAAAGTTAAAAGAACTTACATTTTGAAAAGTTGATGTCATATGGTGTTGGTGTAGTAGATTGTGATGTTGGTGCTGCTGAAATTGATGTAATTATATTGGAGCTTTATTGGGACGTAGATATTTTAAGAAAATGTTGAATACATCTATAACCAACAGTTGGCCAATTGTGATATGATGCAACTTGAAACCTCTCAGACTTCCAACAACGACAACAACAACAACATCATCAAAAATAACAATATCAACAACATTAACAACAACAACAACGTCAACAACATCAACACTAACAGCTTAAACTTCAACAATTTAAGCAACATTTTTAATAATAATAACAGCACAATAAACAACAACAATAACATTAATCTCAACAACAATAATAACATCAACAACAACCTACAACAGTTAATCGCACTGACACTTGCTAAAAAGACAATGATAGATGAAAACAACAACATCGTTCTAAACAGCAACAACAATAACAACAACATCAATATTAATGACACTAATTTGAATTTTCTCACTAATAGCATCAACAACAACATAAACAACAACCCTTTGTTGTCATTAGACCTAAACAACGACACAAACCTCTCACCACTAACGACAAATATAAAAATTGAAAACATTCAGAATTTTACGAACCAACAACAGCAACTACTCTTACAACAGCAACTACTGCAACAGCAGCTGCAACAGCAGCTGCAACAGCAACAACAGAATATCTACAACCTTGAAGACAGTCGTAGTTTCTTGAGCGCCTTAGCCATGGATAGTCCAGATTTGTATACATTCATAGAGCAAGAAAATTTGCTGAAAACATTAAACAGCCCATTCAACATCAACAACAACATCATCAACAACAACAACATTAACAACAATAACAGCAACAACAACTTAACCATCAACAACAACAACATTCTTAATATAAATCAACACTTGCAACAGTTGTTGAACAACATCTTAGCGACTCCATCAGCTCTAACGCAGCCATCATCATCGTCATCATCATTAACCACCTCATTATCATTATCATCATCTACACTATCGTCATCAGGGACATCATTATCATCATCATCATCATCAATGATGTCATCATCATCTCAGATAATTCCAGAACTGACTCCAATCAATAATTCAGTCGGATTGGAAGAACTTTTTGTAAAGCCCGAGGCAACCACTGCCACCTACTCAACACCACTTGGTCTGTTTTTGTCGCTGCGCTGTGGCTGTGTGGTTGTGTAGATGTGTGGCTGTGTGGCTGTGTAGCTGTGTGGCTGTGTCGTTGTGTGGCTGTGTCGTTGTGTGGCTGTGTCGTTGTGTGGCTGTGTAGCTGAGTCGTTGCGTGTGGCTGTGTAGCTGTGTCATTGCGCAGCTGTGTAGCTGTGTCGTTGTGTAGCTGTATCGTTGTTGTATTATTGTGTGGTTGATGCACACACACACACACACGAACGCACGCGTACACACACACACACGCACACAGGTGTCACAACAATGACTTTGCTCCCCATCCCCGAAGCAGAAGGTAAGCCACCTTTGATGACCTTGCCCAATCAATCAATGTCACTTGACCCTAACAACAACAACAATAATGTCTCTCTTAATGGCGGCAACAACATAAACAACGGTATGCATCTCACGTTGTATTAAACTTGATTAACTGAATAATATAATCTATAAAATTACTTCAAATCAGTCTATGTAATCGTTTTTCTTAGTAAAATTTCTTTAATTTAATTTAAATTAATTAATTTAATTTAAAAAATTATGCGATTTTGTTCACCTTATCAGCAGTTGTTTTCAGTATTAGAGATGATTGCTCATCGCTATTTATCCTCTAAAAAGCACAATCTTTTTTAAAATAAATATCCTTTTCCGGAGTAAGATGAAAAATCCCACTCCCACTCACCGTCTCAATAATCCGGCTCTAATTATTTTTTTCCATAGCAAATAAGAAACGCATCCATTTATATCTAACCATTTTACCATCTTAACTCTTACTATAAATTAAATTTACATTATAATAATACAACCCAGCAGCCAATCAGATCTCTTTCCTCCAACAAGCTGGACTCTCCTATGGAATTCCCCAGCTAAACTCAGCCAACCAATCACCAAACGTTCTCGACTTCACCAGCAACAACATCTTCGACAAAAACGAAACCAATGGAATTTCCAGCCTAACCGAATTACCACTGTTCAAAAACGTGCTCTTACCTGGCAATCTATTTAGTTGTCATGACAACGACGGCGATGACGATGATAATAAAGTTTCCATAGCAACCAACAATGGCGAGGCTATTTTGGTTGGCGGTAAGAAACGCGAGAAGACGTTGATTGAGATGAAGGCGGCTGATTATGAGTCGTTCGGTGCGGTGGGGACCGAAGCAGCAGGAACTGATTATTATAATCAGTTCAACAACTTCAATGTCTTCAATGAGAGTTAGAAATATTTTTTTTTGTGTGTGTATGATTGTTTGTGGACAGTCAGATGGCCTAGTGGTAAAGTGTCTGGCTATTTCGTTGCAGCTATTTCGGGTTTGAATGCATTGTGAGCGCTGCTGCCTGTTTGCTAGAAAGTTGCATTCAAAAGAGGCCTTGAAACTTACGTTTCCTTGTTTGCCAATGAATCTTTTCGAACAATTATTGTATTGATGATTTTGAGATAATTTGCTCAACTATTATTTGTGCTTCACGCTGCTAGATTAGTAGAAACAATCTTCACTCGCAACTCACCAAACCATCCAACCTCAGACATAACTCAAGATCTAAGTGGCCACTTGCAGTCAACGACAGCGTCATCATCGTCGTCGTCACAGTTGACGTCATCATCAACACCGACATATCCATTTGACAATTCTTGGATCTATGGCCTGCAGAATAATGGTGAACGAACGAACGAAATTGTGATGACTTACTTTTTTAAATTAAAATAAATTAAATTGAGAAAATAAAAATTTATGAAAAATTTTTTTTTCACCAGGACAGCATTACAATCAGGGAATTGTTGACGTCAACAATTTTTTATCTCGCAACATTAATAGCAACATCAACCAAAATAACATCAACAACAATGACGTTAATATTGCCAACAGTCTCAGTAGCAACATAATCAGCAACAACATTTTCAACAATTTAAACAACAACATAAACAACATCTTAAGCAAAAACAACAACACCAACAATCACAACATCAACAACCACAGCATCATCAACAGCAACAACAACAATTATTTTGTAATGAACGATTTAAACGCCGACGACTTCCTTAACGTAGCGTTCAATGACGACAATAACTCAAAAGTTAACAACATCAACAACATTTTTCTCAACAACAATAACAACGTAAAAAACAACAGCAACAACATCAACAAACTCATCAACAGCAATAGCATCAACACAGCATTAATTGACCACGAAAATCTCCTGATAAACCTTACTAACTACAATCACAACAACAACAGCAACAATCCAAGAAATGACGTCATCATCGGCAACGGAAGTAACAAAAAATCCTAAATAACAGCGAGGCACTTGTCCGAGATTATTGTTTTGATGGAAAGAGAGTTTTTAATCTAATGTTACGTAAATAGAATATGGACTTGATACTCATTAACATTTTTTAAAATTCTGACGGTCTGTCTTTCTTTTTCATTCTCATGTCCATTCCAACTATCATTCTCATTCTCATCGTCGTCGTCATCATCTTCCTCTTCCTTCCTTCAACTTCTTCATCATCATCGTTGTCATCGTCATCCTCACCATCATCTTTATCATCGTTGTCATCATCTTCTTCATCATCATTATCTTCATCACCATCATCGTCGTCATCATTTTCATCATCATCGTCAAGTTTATTCTCGATATGTGTCGTGTGTATATGTATGGATGTGTGTGTGTGTGTGCGTATGTATGTGTGTGTGTGTGTGTGTGTAGATCGCTATTATACATTCCATGTATTTAATTACTTTTTTTAATTTTCACACAAATATCTAATAAAATACTTAAAATAACGATAATTAAAAAGAAATAAATACGCATTTACGTATATATTTTTGTTACACACACACACACACACACACACACACACACACACACACACACACACACACACACATACACACACACACACACACACACCACACGCACACACACATTAAATATAATTCTAACAATGGAATCACTTTTTTAATAGAAGCATCATATTTTTGTTATTTTAACGATTGCAATTAGAGTAAGAATTATATTTATAATTATTATTATCAATATTATTGTTATTATTATTATTGTCGTTATTGTTATTGTTGTAATTATTCTTATCTATTGTTTATTCTTCAGCCCGTACTTCTACGAAAGCCTTATTTTAAATTAAAACTGAATGATAAATTTTTTTTCAAGAAGAATATTTTTTCTACTTTTTGAAACTAAAACAAAAAAAAAACACGTTTGTTTGTATTTATGTTGGTTTCTTATTTCATGTAAATATGTATGTTTTGTATGTGTGTGTGTGTATGAATGTATGTGTCTATGTGTGTTTGAATGTATGTGTGCATATGTGTATATAAAGTATAAATATATAAAGGTATAAATGTATTCTATGAGCATGAACGTATGTTCATTTACTCACCTAACGTGTATATATTTGTGATATTTTGTATTGTTTTGTATTATTTGTATGTATAGTATGGATAAGAATCTTTAAGTTTGTATTTTGATATGTATATACAAAGTTTATTCTTTTATACAAAATATTTACCTTGTATACAAGTTTATACAAAATGTATACCAGTTTTTGTACAAATCTTTGTATGTATATGTGTGTGTATGTATGCATGTGTGTATGTATGCATGTGTGTATGTATGCATGTATGTATGTATGTATGTATGTATGTATGTATGTATGTATGTATGTATGTATGTATGTATGTATGTATGTATGTATGTATGTATGTATGTATGTATGTATGTATGTATGTATGTATGTGTGTATGTATGTATGTATGTATGTATATATGTATACACAAACGTGTATTTGTATGTGGTGAAAGATTGCTCACAACAACAACATCAACATCAACAGCAACCACAATAACAACAGCCACAACAACCACAACAACAACAACAACAAAAATGGTTATTTTTTATTGCCAATTTTGAAAAGAAGACCAACATTTTTATTTTTCTTTCATTTTGTTTTTTGTTTTGTTTTTCTTTGGGTTTAAACGTGGAATTTCCATTCAGTTTGTTGATTGTATAATCTGGTTTATTCAATTTATATCAATAATAACAATAATAATAACTACAATATTAGTTATTATTATTATTATTATTATTATTATTATTATTATTATTATTATTATTATTATTATTATTATCACTATTTGAATTGTTATTTGTATTATAGATACTTCATGAATAAAATGCAAATCCTCATTTAAATGTTTTTTTTAAATGGACCATTGAATGGACGAAATAAAAAAAATTATTATTCATGGTTGGGAGAGAACTTGATTGATTAATTAATTAATTAATTAATTAATTGAAATGAATGAATGAATGGGTTAGGTTAAAAATTGAATGAATGTATGGATGAATGTATGAATAAATGAATGAATGAATAAACGAACGAATGAATGAATGAATGAATGAATGAATGAATGAATGAATGAACAAACGAATGAATGAATGAACGAACGAACGAATGAATGAATGAATAAACGATGAAAATAAATTTTTATCAATACATTTAAATAAATAGATAAATACGTATGTAATATATTTGAAATAAAATAAAATAAATACAATATAATTTCCTACATATAAAATAAATGTAAGAATAAATAAACAATTAACTACATAAAATGGAAGTCGTCAGATACTTTTTAAAAATATTTTAAATATTTAAAATGCAGCTTATAAATGTACGAGTAAATAAATAAATGAATGAACGAACGAACGAACGAACAAACGAACGATCGAACGAATGAATGAATGAATGAATGAATGAAAAAACGAACGAACGAACGAGCGAACGAACGAATGAATGAATACGCAAAAAATGAATGAATGAATTAATTAATTAAGGAACGAATGGATGAATGTGTGAAAGAAGGAAGTTTCATTTTTTTTAGGGTTGAAAAGGGTTAATTAATGAGCAAACGAATGGATAGCATGACTTGAAATGAATGAATAATGGAATGAATGAAGAATATTAAATGATTGAATGAACATTGATTAGATAAATGAATGAACGTGAAAACACTGAACGAACGAACAAAAAGTAAACAACAGACAAAAAAAGTCAAAAAAAGAAAAAAAAACCTTTGAAAGAAATCACCGTTCATCAACTTACTTTCTCATAAGGATGTGGTTTTTTGCACGTGTGTGTATGTGTGCATTTATGTGTGCATGTGTGCATACATGCCTGTATGTGCATGGTTGTCTTGCATGTATATATGTGTGAGCTCTCAAGGATGCGTGTGTGTATGTAAATAAATAAATATATATATATATATATATATATATATATATATATATGTGTGTGTGTGTGTGTGTGTGTGTGTGTGTGTGTGTGTGTGTGTGTGTGTGTGTGTGTGTGTGTGTGTGTGTGTGTGTGTGTGAGAACTCAGTTGAGCCAAATCACCGAGAAGTCTTCAGAGGAGGAATCCCCATCGACAAATGTTTCGGCCCTTCACAACCTCCTTCCATTCTCGGGGGACCGGGCCACGTTCGTTAATCACTCGCACGTTTTTCGACGACTGCTGATTTTTCAGCTGTGATGATCTGCTATTTATACCAAAATTCAGTTTTATATTTCCATACGAAGTCGTATCACTGTAGTTATAGCTTGCTAATTCAGCCGACACTCCTTTTTCTTTCTATTCAGCCACAACCAATGTGAAGCTTGCTCTATGCTACTAATAACCATTTTCAGGCATGCTGTACGCTTCTTGCCTGACAGTCCCAACTTTTTGAAAAATGCATATATCGACGTTCTCATTGTCCCTCTTGCACCAGCCTCAACAGTTTTGCTTTTGTTGGCAGTTGATCGTACATTCCTCTTATCAGAAAAGCCTAACGGAGAGGTGCCACATTCCAAATTTCGTTCCAACTAATGTTTTTCTGCAACACTTCTTTCCACGACGACCATCTGCCCTGTTGATTCATTACGATTTTCTTCAATAATCATCTGAACTTTTGTTTTGTTGTTGACCTTGAACCACCACCTATTTTGAAACCAGCCTACGCCGTGTTTCATGCTTTGCACTGCTCACACATCTCATTAAATATACATATATACGTTTGTTTGTGTGTGTGTGTGTGTATGTATTTGGGTGTATGTGTATTAAAACCAAAACATGATGATTGTGCGTGTGTGTGTGTGTGTTTATGTGCCATTTACTAGCTGTTAAGTTTGACAGATTATTTTTCTTTGGAGGAATTTTTCAGTTTTTGCCACAAACGTGCAACTTAAAAACAAGTGAAAATAACGAATAAACAACTAAATGGAGAAATGAATGAGACGATATGTAAGGCCAATAATGACTGTGTAGTGCTAAATATCAATATAAAATTATTAACATATACCAACTGTAATTAATTAATTAATTTAATTTAATTTAATTAATTAATTAATTTCTAGTATATTTTTAAATTAATTAATTTAAAAACTAAAAAACAGACCAAAAAAAATCAAAAATTGATAAAATGAGTTTTTAAATCATAAAAAGAAAATTTATTTAAAAGGATTACAATGAAAATTATAAACGAAAACGCGATAAAAAATAATTTCAAATCAAATTAGGCAAAAAATTAAATGACTATTATTTATATAAACACACACACACACACACACACACACACACACACACACACACACACACACACACACACACACACACACACACACACACACACACACACACACACACAATCACCACACACAACACACACAATATATGTATATACTTAATGATAACACTTATCATCTTTGCTAGTAAACAGGCTCATACAAACATCATATCATTGTAAGTAATATCATTTTATAAATAACTTGCGAGAAAATTTATTCTGTACGTTTAATAAACATTAAATTAATTATTTTTTATAAACTGCCAAAAAATGCATTAATTAGCATTAATTAGGATAAAATTATGATAAAGTTCGGCCAGACTTGAATAAAAATTCATCTTACTAGCCAATAAGTAGGTCATTAAGCTAATTCAATTTTTTTTCAAATCATTGAACAATCAATCGTTTATTCGTTCATTCATTCGTTCTTTCCCACATTCATTCATTCATTATTTTAATTTAATCACTCAATCAAATACTCAAATAAATCACCAATCATTTAAAGACTTTACCATTCATTCAATCGATCAATAATTTAACTGGCCAATCAGCCAGCCAATCAGATTTTTGTCGTAACAGAATCGCCAGCCCCAGCAGCAGCAGCAATAGCCACACCAGCCCCACCAGCGCCTACACTGGCCACATTAGCGGTATCACCATCAGTTCGCTTTTGATAGTCAACGAGGACGGATTTGTTGGTGAAGATCGGGATGTCCGAGTGGTACCGCAAGGAGGTGGTGATAGCCTCACTGGCATCAAATGGCACTGGCTCCTGCGACAGTTAAGTAGAAATACTATAGAGATAATTGTGACAAAAAAATTGAAAATGGCCAATGTGGGAGAAACATAATCCACAATGGTGCAATTTTTTCTTCAAATTAACTGAACGAACAGTGATAGAACAAAATAACGATAAACCTCCATTGACTGTCTCCTTCCGTAATTTGGCTGAAGTGATGCTCTGCTGTTTGTGGCGTGGTGATGACGATGACGATGATGATGACAAAAGTAAAAAGTAGACAACAGTAAAAATATAAACATACTTAAATAAACATACACACTTGTTTGAATATAATATATATATATATATATATATATAATATATATATATAATATATATATACTATATATATATAATATATATAAACATATATTGTACTGGTATATATATATATATATACTTTCTATTTTAGTTGTCATCCTCTTACTTTCTCTTTCTCTCTTTCTCTCTCTTTCTCTCACTCTCTCTTTCTTTCTATAATATAAATATTTTTCCTTTTCCTCCCAATATTTTTCCCCAAGCAAACTTTAGGTTTCAGTAGATTAAATTTTGAAAACAGCGGACGACGACGACGACGATGATGAGGATGCGATGATAATGATGACGATGATGATGGCGATGATAGTATCATTTCTAATAGACACTCGTGATGGTGATGCAAGTAAAGATGGTGACATGGAGGTTGGCGCCACAATGGAAAAAAAACATTTGCAAAGGTGTAAACTCTTTTTGGCATCACTACTAATACTACGATCGTTACTATTACCATCACCATCATTAGTATCATTATCATAATGACGTCATCATCATCATTATTATCACCATCATCACCATTTTCTGTCACACGCCTAAGTGAGTGCACTCTCACATAAATATACGCACCCTTATTAAGGAGAATGAACGAAGTTAGTTTTTTCAGAATTTTGTTTTTGTGTGTAGAATTAATTTGAAAATATTGAATAAAAGATGAAATAGAAATTATAAAAAATACAAATAATAAAAAAATTATTATTAATTATTAATTTTTATTATTATTATAACTCAGTTATAAATAATATAATTAAATTACTTTCTAAGTTTTCTAGAGTCGCAACATCTTTTGCAACAGCAAATCTTTCCCCAACATCCAACGCAATAACTACAACATGTTGATGTGCAACGTGTTGTCGTTGATTTTTTACAGCACCTGTTGCTGTTGCTCTCGCAACATCTTTTGTTGTTGTTGCAACATCTTTTTCTGTTTCTGCAACAGCTGTTGTTGCTGCTGCTGTCTTTTTTGCAACAGTTGCTATTCTCTCTTTTGCAACACTTGCGGTTCTCGTTGCAACAGTTGCTGCAACACTGTCCCATGTTTTTTCTTGCTGTTGTTTTTGTGGTAGTTGCGACTGTTTTGCGGTTGCTGCGACTGTTTTTGTGGTTGCTGCAACTATTTTTGTGGTTGCTGCAACTGTTATTGTTGCAGTTGTGACTGTTCTCTGTTGATGTTTTTGTCTATTTGTTGTTGCAATGTTATTAATGTCACCACCTGAGATGAAGATTTAAATGATGATGATGAAAATGATGATGATGGTGGTAAAAATGATGATGAAGAAGTTGATGTCATGATGGTCAACACTACAATAATGGTAATGAGGGTAGCGATAATAGGAGAAGAATCTTGGTGACAGCAACAACAACAACAACAACAACAATAACAGCAACAACAACAGCTGGTGAGTTGATGAGGTTATCATGTTGAAGTTGTTGACAATACGGAATATGATATGGCAGACATGATGAAAATAATGACGATGATGAAGAAGAAGAAAAAGATGATGGTGATGATAATGGTGATGACAAAACCAAAATATATATGACTATGACGATGACGACGACGATAACAATGAGAACAATGATGAAGAAGATGAAGATGACGACAATGATGGTAGTTTGCCGACATAAATTTTACGCAGAAATATTTGAAATAATTCAATTTTTTATCGTAAAAAAACTTATAAATATTTTTTTCTGAAAAGATCCAGTTATAGAAAATGACTTTAATAATAATAAGAAATATTTGGCCTTAGAGCTATCATTTGTGGCAACTATAAGAGGTGGATGGCTGGTTTATGGTAGCAAGATCAGTTATTTTGTTGTTGTTGTTGTTGTTGTTGATGTTATTATAGAACTATACGCTGATGTATTGATGTGATAGTATGCTGATATGATGCGTTGTGTGGTCCTGATGTTATGATGAAATGATGTTAATGTTATTATGTTTTGTATATGCTGATTTTATTGATTGGATGGTAGGCTGATTGGCTGAGTGTTTTATGGGTATAAAAATAAATTATGAAATGCGGTAGAATTGTAAACATTTTCTTCGCAAATGTCATTGATGTTACGAATAATGATGTTATTATTGCTGTCATGTTGATAGTTTGCTGCTTGATGTTGTTGTTGTTGTTGTTGTTTTTATGACGATACATCATTAATTCTGCTGATTCTCATGTAACACGTGTTAGCGGCGGGTCAACGATGGGAAGACATATTTCAAAATAAAATAAATAAAATAATAAAATTGAGATAAAACTAAATGGTAAATAGGTTGATTGAAAAATTGCAAAAAAACAAAATTGAGGAAATTTATGGGGACATAATTATTAGGTAGAAAACCACGACTGTGGCACTTTATTGCCTGCTATTACCTCCAATAAACCGTGCTGATAAAAATGAGAAAAATATAAAAACACAACCAAAAGAAAAATTTTTCAAGTACAAATAATAAAAAATGAAAATGGCCAGCTGGAATGACAGGGCAATATACAAACAAGAATAATAAACATTCGTTGAGTAAGACGATTGAAGCACACTGAACAACAACAACAACAACAGACATTATTAACAACAGAATAACAACTAAAACATATCAACAAACAACAAACAAACAAAAGAACAACAAACAAACAAACAAATAACTCACAAAAATAAGAATTAGACAGCAAGTTTAATCAACAAACTTCAAAGAGCGTCAAAGAAAATTAACGTCAACACAAACAATGTAAAAAAACAGCATTGAACGACATGCAACAACATCACAAACAACAACAAAAGCCGAGCCACCAACAAGCCACAATCCAACATCAACCCGTCAACTCGATCAACCTGTGCAGTTTCGTGAATTCAAGGAAATTGAAATTTAGCAAATGGATATATGGTATGTGGATATATAAAGGATATATCCGATATATCATCCACCATCTGTATATCATTAATTGTGTTTATGTGTTTCTGTTTTTCATGTACTATTGTTATTGTATTCCACCTAATCATCATCATACGTTCACACGCAAACACACACATACACTTACACAAACACACACACACGCAAACACCCTTAGTTGAATCATAGCCTTAAGGCCGAAGTTAAAATATATATATACATACATTGATATGAACAAACATAAAATGAATGCGTGTATGTATGTGTGTATGTGAATATGCGCGCGCGCGTGTGTGTGTATGCTTGTAAAACGTTTTACTAACTCTGATCTCAAACCACCACATTGCAATTTTTCCAGTTCGTCAACGACAAATAAAAAAATTCACCTACTCCTAAAGTCAAAATTTTGTTTGACTTGAATTGAAAAATGTAATTATTTTTGAAATTGAAACTGCAGCATTATATTTTAGCAATCATAATAATAATTTTTTATCAAGCCACAAAAAATTCTTACTTTTTATACAAAGGGGAACTTTTCTTTGACAATTATTTTGATTCTTCAAAAATAAATTTACTTTGATCTGAATTTAATCCAATTACCAGAGCTAGCTGACGAATGATATGACGAACTAATACAAATAACAACAGAATTGTAAAAAAATAAAATATTTTTGTTGAGTATTTTGAATAGATATAATTTATTTTATATTTTTTTGTTAAAACTTTTAAAAATTTGAGTTGCCTAAATTTCGCTAATGGAGTCTGGCCAAATTTGAAAATATACTAATCAAGGTTTTATATATAACAGCTCATCTATATATGTTTACATAATGATAATAATAATGATGTGTATTTATGTGTGTGTGTGCGCGCGTGTGTTTCTGTGTGTGTGCGTGCGTGCGTGTGTGTGTTTGCTTATAGTCAAACAATTATGTAATTATATACAGTTTAAATATCTGAACGTTAAATATCGCTATTTCAAAAACAAACATCATTATCATTAACGTTATCATCATCATCACCATCATTATTATCATCATCATCATCACCATTATTATTATCATCATCTTCATCGTCATCTTCATTACTGTCATCATCATCATCATCGTCGTCATCATCATCATCATCGTCATCTTCATTATCGTCATCATCTTCATCATCGTCATCATCAAAGTCAAAACAATTAATGACGTCATTATCATCATTATTATAACCATGATAAACCTTAATTATATCATCATCACCATCGTCGTCGTCCTCATCACCATCATCAATCTTTGTCATCATTATAAGCTCTCTATTTAATGGCTAACATATATGTACATCGTAATAAATAGCAATTACTTAATAATAATATTAATAATAATAATAATAATAATAATAATAATAATGAGAAATAAAGCCATATTAGTTGATCAATTTCGCACGAGATTTCGGTTTAAACCGTTATAAAAAAAATGCGTTGTTTGCGAAAATTTGACAAATTTTGAGCATAAAAACGTAAAAATTGTTGACACGTTTCATTGAAATGGCATCAGATTTTGAAATGATGAAAAAATTTGTTGATTGAATTTAAATAATTCAGTGAGAAATGTGAAATCATGTATTGTTTATTTTTAAACTTGATTATGTATGCACAGATGTGTGTGTGTGTGGTGTGTGTGTCTGTGTGTGTAGGTTGGTGTGTGAACTGATGTGGATGTGCAAGGAAATGCACGTGAAGTTAATGCTTGGTTGATTGTTTCGCACTATCTTATACGCGCATCGCATATGCGCTAATACACTATAAATTGTATTCATCAAACTAGGTGACGGCTTCTTATTCAGACCAGCCCTTTCTTAAAACTGTTTCTTAAATTACCGTGTTATAGAAAAAACCTCATAAAAATGTTTTTAATTTTCAGTGGAATGTTAAATTTATTGTTGAGAAATAGTCAGTATTAAACGTTCAATACAGTTTGAATTATTTGACGTTCAATCAATCAACTAGCTTATCTAGTTGTTCAGTTTTCCAAATTACATAATTACTCTCCAGCGTTCGTTACACAGAAACATTGCACTCCTAACCATAGGAATCGAACATTACTAATTGGTTTTAACGGAAGAATTTACGTCAGCTTGAAGTCATTCGCAACAGAACAGCTGCTAGGAAGGTTGCTCTGCTGGCTGCAACTTCCCACAGTTTTTCAAACACTGCATACGATGTATTAATACATTACATTAACTTATCAAAAATGTACACACAGAGTAAACACAGCCAACACTCAACGGCTTTGATAATAAGATCATCAGTTTGAAAGACATTTTGGAAAATATCTTTACATTGGAGCTAAAGATGAAGATATGTTTGTTCTTTTGTTTATGTGCACGTGCGAGTTTAAGGTGCGGATACGTGTGTGTGTGTGTGTGTGTGTGTTTTATATAAGCCTGCATTTTGATTGAATTCACGAATGCGTGATCAAATCAGGATCAGAAGTATATAAAGATGTTCTTGTTGTTGTTCATTGTTTAGTCATGAAGTTGAATAAAGTTGAAATTTCGTAGCGCTGTACTTCGGGGAATTTTCTGAAAATCATGCTCCCTCTCCCCATTGCTATTGAGTGCACGTACGTTAATTATAAACAACAACAACAAACAAAAACAACAACAAACAACAGTCATCGTCATTTTGTGATAATAATTTTTAGTCGTTTAAATCATCAGCATCATTATAAATGCTTTTTCACCAGAACTGTCACCAACACTGCTGCCACTTCATCATCTTCGTCATCGTCACCATCATCTTTTCAACAACCATCGCATTTCTTAATCCACTCAAAGTCCAAACTAGGGCAAGAAAAAAATTGTGACCATTGAACAACAAGGCCGTGTACACATTGATGTGTTTCTGTGTGCGTGCGTGTATGATATGTATGTGGATGTGTGAATGTGTGGATGTGTGGATGGGTGTGTGTGTGTGTGAGAAAAAACCCTTTTATGTATGTGTGCAATTGCATGTTGGTGATATTTGTTGGCTGCAGATGTAATATAATATCTAACTTCTTACAAATTATTCAACGAAATGTATTTTATTTTGAGAAAATTGTTTGAGGCCATTCATATCAATGATCGATCCAACTAATTAATTACATTCTTTATCTTCTACATA